CTACAGGATGTGCAACTGGCACAATGAAATGTTCATCCCAAACGGGATTCTCACAATTGGAAATTACTCTAGATTGAGCAACTGTAGCCCCTGAAAGGCAAACAGATACATAAGGGTCACTAGTATTCATAGACTGCCTTCCAGAGGGCTTAATGTTAGAGGTCATACGGCCAGAGGACTTAATGCTAGAGGCCTTACTGCCAGAGGACTTGATGCTAGAAGCCATACTGCCAGAGGACTTAATGCTAGAGGCCTTGGGTTTCTTTCTGGAGGAACTCTCACAAGTTCTACACATAGAAAACAGTTTCCTCATTCTTTCTGAATTTAAATCCATATTTGGAAGACTTTTAGCTTCTATAATCCAGAAATCAAGTTCCCCATGAAGGAAGGTGGTTCCCTCAGCATCCCTTCCGTTTGGAGATTTTTCGTGACCCATTCTGACTAATTAAGCAAAGAACAAATGGTTCAAATATCTCATTTCTACCAGACCTGAACCCAGAACATCAAATCACAACAATATGCTGAAACAAGAGAGGCTGAATTCTTTTCCCGGGTCACTCAGTCTTTTCAGCACATGACTTACACCTACATCTCAAAGCAAGTGAGCATCCTCAATTGAACAAGAAGCCTCATACTTAAAGGATTCAGCATCTTTATCATAAAAACAAAGCGGCCAGACAATACGAAATACACAAAAAATTATTTTTGCCTGAACCATTACTCAGAGGGCCTCTCCAGCAAGCTGATAAAAAAAAACATAAGCAAATGCAGTATGGATATTGAAGATATCGGGATTGAACATTCATTAAGGATATTCCCATGATTTATACTTGCCTCTATAGTATAGTTGAAGTAAACAATTTGCACTGTCAATTTAGGAGTCAAAAATGTACACTAAAGATAATGCATGCAGAAACATCATTGATGAATTGTTTCTAAAAACAATTCATATTTCAAATAAGCTTGTTTCAATTATCCTAATCTGATCATCCGGCATAAATGAAATGGGAAAAAAAAATAGTTGATCATTTCACAGGCAAGGTTACAAAATATCATCGTACCAAACGTAAGAAAAATCATATATCACCAAACAAAAGGGCATTACTGGCAATAATTTATTAGTACCTCAACCATTTGGATCAAAATCGAAAGAAATCAAAATGAAAAACGAATGGAAGGAAGAAAACGCACATTATAGTTAAGGAATGCGTATGCAATAGCTTTGTCTTGGCTGTACTATAAACCTTGTTGAAGAAGATGAGCAAGGTTATCAATTTTGTGTTTAGGGTGAAAGAAAATGGCAGAACAAAATGAGAGGAGCAACATTTGTTTTGAGTTTTGTTTAAGAGAGAATTGCAGCGAAAATGGTGGGAAATATGAGGCGAACATTGGTTTTGATTCAAACTTGGTCTCGGAAGGAACGTATTATCCTTGTTTCATACCCTTTGCTACCCGATTTATACGCTTGTATGTCGATTTTTTAATGGATTAACTACATAATTGATCATTTATGTTTGTGTTTTGTCTATTTTTCTTCATTGATTTAAAAAAACATAATATATGGTTACTTTCATTTTTATTTAATTAATATATGGGTACCATGAATAAACTGATGTTAAATATTTTGGTATAATCACACATTTAATCCATGTTATTTACATATTTTCTCAATTCAGCTGCTAAATAATATGATCAAATGTGTGATTATATCAAAATATCATGTCATTAATTTGTTAACTGTTAACTGCAGTTAACCCATGGTGACTACATCTTAAATAAATAAAAACGAAAAATGATCATATCTTAATTAAATAAAAATGAAAGTGACCATATATTTTATTTTTTTAAATGGTAAAGAAAAGTGGATAAAACACAAACATGAGTGATCAATCTTGTAGTTTACCCTTTTTTAATTTACTGAGAATTCTATTACGTATAATAATTTTGTAAGGGTAATCTACACGGGTTACTAATATTTAAATAAGTTCTCGTTTTCTCAACTGAAGTTTCATAGGGAATAAATTAAGCACTAATATTATCGATTTATAACAAAATAATCACTCTACTGTCACCCCTGCTTGATTTTATATCTAATTTATCCAATAACTTTCTAATTTTCATTTTTTTTTTCTAAACATTCGACCACCTCCACTATATTTACATGAACCACCCTTTATGCAACGACGGTTGAAAACCACCTCCCTCATATCTGTGATGATTTGGCGGTCAAACAACAAAGCATCTCCCTCAGATTTGTACCACTTTATATACAAAAGCAATCCTTTTTTATGATCATTCTTGATAAACTTCCAACAAAAGAGAGACTAGTAAGAAGGGGTATGACTGCTGATGAGCATTGTGCATTATGCCATCGGAATATTGAAATGTGTGATAATCATTTTGCTAGATGTAGTCTTACAAAATTTGTTCGGAGAATGGTTTTGATGCAATACAATGTACACCGTGCACAGGAGCTTGATGGATTGACAGCAAGAATTTCAATGGTTGTGCAGAAAACTTAAAGGTAATCCTCTCATTACTTTGTTCTTAAAGCATCCATGAAATGCACCACTTTATTTCATTTGGAAAGAGGAACAGAAAGTTATTCCAAGAAGTGCAGTAAACTGAAGAAGAGAGCTTTAGACAAATTAAGAATTTTGTTAGTACGAGACATAGGAGAGAAGATTGTGCACATGCCTTAGTATAGTTTGGAATATTCAAGAGTAAATAAGAGTGTAGGTTGAATGTATAGTTTGAAATGTACAGCTTTTTGAGTTGATGTTTGTTGTTCATTAGTTCTGAAATATCAACAAACCCATCATAATGCAACGAACAATTCACCATTAGATATCTCTTATATTCAACCAAGAATCCCGCACAGCAGAAGCCCCGGCTAACCTAGAGGCTAGAAACTACTGCAGTACAATACTACAATCCCAGCAAAAACCATCTTACCAGAGCATCAAGTGACTTCATAATAATCCAGGCTGGAAAAGCTATTGCATATTATAACCATAATCAATAGACATCAGCATGCATCCTATTTTGTCAAACTCCTTTCAGAACAGCTAGGAATGAACTCCATTTAATTTGTTCCCAAGGGGGTGCTTTTTGACCATCGTTGTTGCTGATGTGTGAAGGGTGGTTCACGTGAATATAGTGGAGGTAGCGGGATGATTGGGAAAAAAATGGAAATTAGAAAGCTTTTAGGGAAAATTGGATATAAAATCATTGTTCAAACACCTATTTGATATTTTAGTAGAGTTTATGAGTAAAACTAAATATTGACATTTTCGTTAATATTGATATGTTATCAATTTAACGGGAATGGCGGTAGAGTAACCATTTTGCTACAAATCAATAATGTTAGTAATCAATTTGTTACTTTTGAAATTTTAGTGTGAAAAACAAAACTTAGTCAAACATTAGTGACTATTTTTTTAGTATACCCTTAGTCAAACATAGAGAAGTTTTACGGATAATTAGGGGTGAACAAAACCCGATTTGATTAGAAAAAAATCATTTTTTTACTCGACTCGACGCTAAAAAATTCAATTTGATTTGATTCGAATCATAATTTTATAAACTCAACTCGACCAAAATAATTTAAATAAAATTTGAATTATAAAATTAAACTCGGACAACTCAAAATTTTTAATAATCAGTTGAATGATTTTTAAATTTGAGTCGAGTATCTCAACTCTGCATGATATCTATGTATCGCATGTGAAAAATATATCATATATATTATATGATTATAGAAATACATTTAAATTAAAATTAGTTAGTACTATAAAATTATAAATATTTATAATTGCATTTAATCAAAAATTCTAACAACTTAATTCAAATTGAATTTCATAAAGTCATACTCAATTTTAAAATTTTAAAATAAAATTTAAGTTACAAAATAAAAATTCTCAACTTATAAATCACCGTCACAAAAAATATGAAAGAAAAGAATCATATTTATCAACTATATAAAGTAACTGATAAAATAAATACTTTAAAATGTAATTTTAGTTGTTGATGATATGATAAAAGCAGGAAATTTTATTTGATATTTAAAATTTATTTTACTTAATTTAATCTTAAACTTTAGAATTTAAAACTTTAAAAAAAATTATTAAGCTAAAGTGATTATAAATTAGTATTTATTCTAAATACTCTTAATCTATTAACAATGAACACTTAATCACCCTACAACAATCACCGGTGCTTGAACCCATTATTTCTAAGAACAACAACGATTCCTTTAACTACTAAAATCAGTTTGTTCGTACAAAACCCTAAATTTTAAGTAGAACAAATGACTTAAAATATACAAATTAAATAAATAATTTTACGATCTATAAAATTTCCTAACAATAAACCATAACAAAAAGAAAACTAATAATTTATATATTCACGCACTACATATCAAAATAACTTGGATACAGAAAAACCATTATAATGAAGTAAAAGAAATTGTAAAACTATTCATGTAATAAACCCCTTAAATCTTCAAATCAAGTTCTAAATATCAACCACTTGGATATAGAGTACACACAACGTTGAAGTGCAAGTGATTAGACATTAGTATTATATGTAATAAGAAATGAGTTCATAACTAAAATAGCATTTGCAAAATGATATTTAAAATGAGATTTTTGCAGCACAAATTAAAAGATGGTTGCTAAATGTGATTTTATACGTAAAATTCAAGAGGCACATTCTATATTTGGATTATTAAGAGAAATTCCTATATTTTCATCAAGAAAAACGATGTGGCAGAAAGAAAAAGCAAAATCATATATAAATCAAAGATTTAAATTGCAGTTGCGATGACATTTTCAGTTGAGTTGTATTTACCGTCTATTGCGTTCATTGCCGGTATTATAACGGTTTCCGACGGTACTGCTACAGCGGCTATTATTCTAATAACATGCTGCTATCTAAATCAGGGATTTAGATACTTCAATCAAATATGTACTGCAGTGTGCAGCTACCAAAATTTCAGGTGCAAACTTAACCAATACGTGATGCTACTAGCTCACAAATCAAGCCAACAAAGATTAAACAGTCACTATTTACTATGGCGGAACAAAAACTGCTACATGTAATAGAGTAAGAAAAGGACACCACGAGTTCTTTGCATTTCGATTCTCTGAATCATATCAAAGAACCACTTGAATCTATCTTCCCTGCAAAAAAAACAACAAAACAACGATCAGAAATTAATTTCCAAAGCGCCTAAAAGCTAACACAACTCAATACAAAGTGCAGTTTGTCAAAGGGTTCGACATCAATTTATAAGATTCTATCCTTAAAATTTCAAACTGAGTAAAATATGTCTTACTTGTTGCCCTCCATGTGAAAATCCCTGACCGACTCCATGCCCCGGGTAAGTTTGTCCTTCCCCAGAACTCTGCCCAAACTGATCAGGTCCAGGATTTGATCCTTGCCGAAAACTCTGTTCATTGGCAGGATTTGCCCCTCGCTCAAAGTTCTGCCCATAGCTAGGATTCGGTCCCTGCCCCCCAGAACTCTGCCCAAACTGATCAGGTCCAGGATTTGATCCTTTCCGAAAACTCTGTTCATTGGCAGGATTCACCTCTCGCTCAAAGTTCTGCCCATAGCTAGGATTCGGTCCCTGCCCATATCCAGGATTCGGCCCCTGCCCATATCCAGGATTTGGCCCCTGCCCATATCCAGGATTTGGCCCCTGCCCATATCCAGGATTTGGCCCCTGCCCATAATTCCCACTTTGTGAAGGAGCGTCGTTCCTACGATCTCCTCTAAAATCCCTTTGCTCAGGAGGCATATAATTACTCTGCTCCCCTTGAAAGAAGTCCCTTTGTCGTCCCGGATTATAATTTCCCTGCCCTCCTTGATTGTAACTGCCCTGGTACGAAGGAACACCTCCTCTAGGAGCATAATCTCTGTTGTTAATTGGTGGCTGCTGTCGTCCAGAATTATAATTTCCCTGCCCTCCTTGGTTGTAGCCGCCCTGGTATGAAGGATCACCTCCTCTGGGAGGATAACCTCTATTGTTCATGGTGGCTGCTGCCCGTAATTTTGTTGAGGTTGATAATTTTGACGGGACCTACCAGCTTGGTTTCTACCATACTGAGTAGGAGGTGGTCGTCTTTGCGTGATAACACCATTCTCATACTTGTCCCCTGGCAATCACAGCAACACATTCAACTCCAGGATTCAATTACAATCTCAATGTAGTAACATTCACGTAAAAGTAAAACAAGTCAATAAGTGGTAAAAAAACAATGGGGTTTCCAAAAATAAAACTCCTAACCTCCATACTCCTTGTTTACTGGATCAATGTACGAGTCTGGCAACACGAAAACCACACCAGGTACATCTGTTTAATGCAAAACTTTCAAAAGTCAGAACCTTTAATTCATTCTCTCTAAGCCACTAAGAAACCAGAATCATTAACACACAAATTTTTTCAGAGAAATATGATAACCATAAGCTGCAAAATAGTTACCATTGAATTTTTCAGACTCTTCTTCAGACATTAAAACCTGAAAACCTTCATAAGTAGACGTGCTACACGCATATATCCTTTTTTTAGCTTCGTCCACACTGAATAAAAAATTAAGCCAAAATCAGCACACCCATCACAATCCATTAAAACTAAAGAAGTCACATGAAGCGTAACCCAAGTTAATCGATCAAGCCTACTATTCAATAACAATAGACTACCAGTATAACGTTATTCCCTATAATTATGGAGTAAAAGAAGAACTTTATAAGAGAGATAAGGGGACCTGATGCCGAGGCCTTGAGCACAAATTTTTTCGTAAGTACGAACCATTTCTTCAGGCGGAGGTTTATTATCTTTGGGGAAATCAACAACGATAAGCCAATGGTTGTAATCACAACCTTCGAATAGAACCGTATCTTCTGTAATCTCATCCCCTTCTTTGTACAGCTTGTACTGTCTCGGCGATGAAAGTGGAGCCCCCGATGATCTGAACCATCGAGATAGGAAGATACCGAAACATGGAGGTGACGCGAGGTCGGAAATGGAATTGGGAATTGGGGATGTAATTGAAGGAAAATGGGGTTGGAAACGGAGAGAGTGCGGTGGAAAGTGGCCAGAGTGGTTAGGGTTCGACGGAGGCGTAGCGGGTGTAGAGCCATAACTCGTATTGAGGATGTAGGATCTAGGGTTTAACAGGGCTTAGAGAACTTTCTGGAGAGAATGTGAACTGTAAGAGTGCCTTGGAGGTTAACCTGAGGTTCCTGAATACAAAACATTCAGTTGCGATTAAACGAATAGGAACCCTTGGATTGGGATTGGTGTTAAAGGTTTGATCAGAACCGTTAAAAATTAATTTAATGGTATCCAAGACTCGCACGCTTTTTAAAAAATCTGTATCGTTTTTTGAATCCCTTTTTACTTTTAATATGATTTTTAAATTGAGAAAAATCAATTTAATTTTTTACCATATTTAATTTTTTACCATAAAATTAGACGTTGAAGTTTATGAAATTGACATTATAATTTACGTTATTAATTTATAGTATTATCGTGATAGTTTAGTATAAATAGGAATGAATATAGAATTTAAATTTGATAGGTTCCGATCCATTTGATTGGGTTGTATTTTTAAAAAAAAAATTGAGTTTGAATTGAGTCGGGTCATTGTTTTAAATTTATTTAAGTTGGGCTGGATTTGGGTTTAGGGTAAAAATGTTTGACTAGACCCGACTCGAAATATAATATAAATTTATCTTATATATTTATAGATAATTACAATAATAATTCTCTATATGTTAATTTTTTCCGATTAGATTTATTTTTTTATGATATATTTATTTTGGTCGTGTTAGAGTCGGGTTTAAATTTTTCTAAAAAATCGGGTTGTCGTTTTCGATGAAACCAACCCTACTCACGCCAATTCCTAACTATGAATGATGACGTAATAGGACTTAATTGATTTTTTTAATTAAGTTCGAGGATCTGATTGATTTTTTTTAGTTGAGTTCGAGAGTCTAATTATTTTTTATCAAAAACTCAAAGGTTATTTAAATTTTTAGAAAAAAATAATATTTAATTAAATTTAAAATAAAAATATATAAATAATTATTACTCCATATAAATAAAAATATTAACATTAAAAATTAAATTATTGAAAATTTAGAAAAATTTAAGAACTATTGAAAATGAAAAATAAAAAATATTATAAGTTATAAGATAAAAAAATAAAATTAAAAATATTTAAACACTTTTATATAGAAGAAGTCTTTTAATTATCTTTCATCAGTCCGATTCTATTGATTATTAAACGATTAGCCAATAAATTTTTAATAATTTTTAAGTTTATATTATAAGCTATAATAATTGTTATATACTTTTAATTTTTTCAATATTTATTGATAATATGGTCATAAAAATATGAATTTGAAAAATTAAAAATAAAGCAAGTGCGTTTTATGTACTAAATTTATAAGAGTGTAAAGGCTTGCAAATAGCCATTAGAATTATTCAAAACATGATTAATCGTAATGATTGATCTAAATAACTTATAACGTTTCTTAGTTATATTTAAATACAATATTCATAAGTTTTGACTAATTCAATAATAATATTTTTTAAATAAATTGATGATATGTATATGAAACGAAAAATATGTTAGTTTTGTTAATTCGAGAATGCATTTAATTTGTCTTTATGCCTATATATTACATGTATATATTATATGTAATATATGTTTTTTAAAATATTTTTAATTTTTTATTAGTAATTTATTATTTATAATTTTTTATCTTATGATATATTTTAATATTTTACTATTTAAATTTTTTAGTAATTTATTTTTATATTTAAAATAAATAAGTCATCGAACTCAACCAAAACAAAATATTATACCTCTCTTTCATGTCATTGTCCTGTCACATTAACATTGTGATTTGTTATATCAACATTTAACTTAAAAATTATTTTTTTTATTTTAAATATATATTTGAAATTTTTTTAGAATCTTTTATATACTTAGATATTTTATTTTTAAAAAATCATAAAAATTCTAAAAAGCAAACTAATATTTTAATTCAAATTCAAGGGTCAAAATAGGCACATTGAGTTCACCTATCACATTTTTAAGAAGAAAAAAGTAATGGTATGAATTCAAATGCTAATAGCAGGAAAAGTAAATCATTTTAATACATTTGGATTCTTTCAAATAAAATAAAAACCTCAACACAGTCCATTGAGGAAGTGTGAAGTTCTAACAAATATTTTATGAGTTTCGTTGAGCATCAACAAAAATATCATATTATGAATCGTTAGACGGAGACAATATCCCCTTGATAATTACATTGTTTCATCGGTTTTCAAATGTCGTTTGGAGTTCAATTGTTTTTGCTATATGCGTTTTAAGTTCCGTGCCACCCGTCATTATTTCAGGGCCAATGACAACTAAAAGATAGGGGAATAAAATTATTACAAGTAGATAATTATTTTATAAATTTAATAATACGATAATTTTTATCCAAAAATCGCCTAAAATTATTAACTATCGAAATACCACCCTTTAACCAATATTACCGAAATGTGACCTTTTTAAATGAACCCGTTTTGCAAACACACCTTAAGCATACGTGGCAAAGGCACGTTCTATTGCTGATTTGACAGCACACGTGAAGGCGTGAGCTGTAGAACGTGCTTGCGCCCCCATTAATACCATTTGATTTAGGGTTAGAGTTAGCGTTTAAGGTTAGACTTTTTTAATTAATAAAATTATTTTGAGTTCAAATATAAAACCTAACATATTTAACTATTTGTATTTTAATCTCCAATTTACATCATTTATACCATTTAATTCTTTTTCCCTATATGAGAAAGTTAAGACATTTCAAAATATAACAATATTATATATTTTTAAGAGATTCTAATGTAAAATATTAAAAGAATAAAACAAAATAAAAACTACGTAAAATCGTTAATATTATATAACAAAATACAAAATAAAAGTACATAAATAGAAGACCAAAAAATACAATACCAAAAATAAATTACATGAATATGGTCTATGATTGAGAGATGCTAATAGAAATAATTAGCTGACCTTTATTCCCATATCTAATGGGGTAAGGAGAGGTAAGATAGTAGGCTACCCCCAACGTCAGGTTGAGAGCAGTTTCTATGGGAGACCTCCAAATTATGAAATGCCCTCCGTGGGACTCGATCCCACGACCTCAAGGTTAAAAACCTTGTGTTCTACCAGCTGAGCTGGATGGTCAATATGAGAGATGCTAATAAAGATGAACATTTTTCTATTATGACATGGGTTTCTACAATGCCTACATCTTTAGGTTCTTTGACTCTCGAATATTCATACACAATGAATTCGTGTAGATTTTGGATGACTTAGTTTCCTTAATAAAATCAAATTTGATATCATTGTAAGTCCAGTCTAACTCTCATTTGTGTATTTTCATTACAAATGGGGGGAACTCAAATTCATATATTTGAATACTTGTGAAAGCTGATTGACAATATCAACATAACTTTTGTAGTCCAAATGAGAATGTGAACAAGCTGCTATGATATAAGAACATTGTTGAGTTAATCGATCGACGGAATTAGCCAAGAGGGGGGGTGAATTGGCAATTAAAATTCGGTGGAAGCTTTTGCAGAAAATTGAAAAGATTGCACCAGCGATTTAGAGTGGTTCGACTTCTCAATCAAGTCTACGTCCACTACCTTAGCTATCACACTAAGGATTTTCCAACAAATTCACTAATTTGTTCTTTCTTTTGAGGCCAAAGAGATAACCTTCTATACCCAATTCTTGAGAACACTCTTTTCCCAAGAGAAGATTACAATTTGCAAACTTACAAGGAAAACCTCACAAGTAAGATGTTGCACAATTCTAGAACAAAAAGACACTCAAATAATTACAATGAGCACAAATGGTGTTCTTGAAAGCAAATGAATATTGAAAGGAAATTGGCTTGATTTGCACAAACTTGGTGTTTTGATGCTTTCTCTCTTTTTCTCTATGATTTCTTGTTGATCAAGGGCTTCAGAACTGTTTAAATACACCTTGAATCACTTCTGAACGTTGGGGATGATTATGAAGATCATATAGCCGTTTAAGTGTGAAAGCAATTAATTTTTCTAGTGGAGCGTCTCATGCATCGATGCATGATCAAGGATGCATCGGTGCATTCGTGTAAAATTCAAATATTTGACCGTTGGGACACTTAGTGCATCGGTGCACTAAGGATGCATCGATGCATAAAATGCATTCGATGTTTGAAAATGCATCGGTGCTGCCTTTGAAAAACTGATTTAAGGCTTGATTTTGGTTCAAAATACTTTGTGAAAATTGTTTCAAAAATAGTTTAAGTACAATCACAATTTTACACATTTAGTAAGGATTAAAATTGATCTTGAAAAACTTGGAGTAATTTGATATTCGATTAATTGAATCGAATATAATTTGGTAAAATCATTTGTAAAATCTAAAATTCATTTAACTTAATTTGTTATATTGAAATATCAAAAAAAAATGTTTCAACAATCTCCCCCTTTTGATATAACAAAACATTTGAGTAATTGTAAGATTTGTTTAAGAAATTATTTTTTTGAAATTGATTTTGAAAAACTTACTCCCCCTTACTATAGCACATCAAAACTTACTCCCCTTACTATAGCACATCTTAAATTTTCTCCCCCTTTTGTTAAATCAAAAAGACTCTATAAACGTTAGCCAATTGATTTATTATAATAAGCTGCTAAGATCACAATCAAAAGAGATATAGCCATTAGTTTTCATACACAATATTCATAATAAAATGTGAAATGGCATATTGGTCATAAATTTCTAATGATGCAAAATTAATAAACAGAAAGCGTTAAAATGTCAAACCAAATATATAATAAGTTCAAGCATCCTCAAACAAACATCCAACAACTAATCAGTTCAAGTACCAACAAAGCACAAAAATCAAAATCAATCCAAGTTTTAAAACAAGAAAACATGACAAGCAAGTCTACTCCATCGGAGGATCGGAGAGGAGGATAATGAGCTCGAACTTCAAAAGTCAGAGCATCCATACGATCACGCATCTCCCTCTGAAACTCAGAAATCGTAGACTCATGGAGGCAAACGTATCAAACGCTCTAGAAAGATCGAAATAAGGTGGCGTTTGATCATCCTGTCGTGCTGGTACTTCCTCGTCAATATCTCTCA